GTTGCCCGCGGGCCCCCGCACCTGTGCGCAGCAGCGTGTCCTTCCCGTTCTCCAGGTATCTGCGCAGCCAGGGCACGCACGTGTCCTCCAGGTAGGCCTTCCGTCTCTCTGCCACCCCAGCCTGCTCCCACTTGCGCCGGGTGATCTGCGCCGCTGTGTCCGCCGCCGTCCACGTCGTCAGGTCCTCGTTCAGGGCGATGTAATCGTGGCCGTCGTAGGCGGACTGTTCGTACCCGCGGAGGAGGCGCCCGTCCGACCCCACCTCACAGCCGTACATCCACTGGAAGGTGTGAGAGCCTGCGGGGACCCCGCGGTCAGCCCCGCCCACCTGTTCGGCCCCGGGGTCACCCGAGGCCCCGCGCAACAGCCCTGCCCACAGGCCCCGCCCCCATCACCCACGCCCGCGGCCTCGCCCACCCGCGGACTCTAAACCGAAAGGGAAACCGGGTTCGGTCCCCGCTCTCCTCCCGAACCTCGGACCTGGGACCCGGGGCGACTCTGGCCCGTGCGTGGGGACGTGGGGGGGTCGTGACCTCCGCCCGCGGTCACTCACCGCCCTCGCTCTGGTTGTAGTAGCCGAGCACGTTCCTCAGGTTCACTCGGAAAGTCTGCTCGTGGTTCTTGGCTCTCTGTGTGTTCTCCTCCCAATACTCCGGCCCCTCCTGCTCCATCCACGGCGCCCGTGGCTCCTCTCGTGGAGTCTCCGCGCCGCTGTCGTAGCGCACGAACTGCGTGTTGTCCACGTAGCCGACGGAGATGAACCGGGGCTCCCCGAGGCCGGGCCGGGACACGATGGTGGAGAAATACCACAGCGAGTGCGAGCCTGGGGGCGGCGCGCGGTGAGACCCCGACCCTGCTCCCGGGACCCCGGGCAGGAGCGCAGGCCGGGAGGGGAGCAGGGCGCGGGGCTCGGGACGCGGGTGGGGAAGGGGCGGGAGGGTCCGGCTGGGCCACGCGGGGACGCGGCTTCCCCGGTGCCGCCCCCGCCCTCCCCGCAGAGCCCGGTTCCCTCCCGACCCCGCACTCACCCGCGCGGGTCAGGGTCGGGGCCAGGGCGGCCGCCAGCAGCAGGAGCAGCCAGTGCGGTGCCATTGCCCCCACCTTGGATCTGGGAGGACTCTGAGTTCTGCGGACTTTATAACCGGTGATCGCGGCGACGCTGGTTGGTTCCCCGGGATCTCGTCACCCAATGGGGGTGAGAACCGCCACGTTGTCATCAGTGTCCGGGCAGAAGGACCTGACCCAGGTTAGGAGCTGGAGAAGTGAAACTGGGGACAGGGGAATCCCCAGCCCTGTGCTTTCCCCACCCAGATCTCACCGCCTGGGGACTAAGACTTTGCCTGAGCCCTGTGTTGCGGGATGGAGCGCTGTGTGTCATGGTCTCTGAGCCTCTTAAGACTCTGCACCTCAGGAGGATGCCTATATGTTTTTCTTTGGGTTCTCAAGGTCCAAATCAGGAGCACAAGGAGAGAGAGCACGAGCAAGGAACTCAGGACCGCGAGGGGTGCACCCACACACTGAGACAATGGGGATG